GGGGGGGTGATGGCGGCGCTAAAAAGAAGTGGGGATTGTCGCAGGACCCCCATCGATAGCCCATCATAGCCCATAACCCACTGCTGGTTGGGCCTTGGGCCCCCATTTATGGGCTTGAGGAACGCTGGTAATTGGGGACTTGCATGGCTTATGGCCTTCCCCGTACCTGAATATGAATGGTACATATTAACTATCACTGTTGTTCTAAAACAAGAATGAGAACATCTAAATGTAGAGACTGAAAGAATTAATAAGGTGTAATATATATGACAGGTGAGTGTAATAGACAAGCAGGTGTAAACACAATCACAACGGAGTCTTCAATGAAAAAAGTCACTCATCACTATCTAAGCTCTTCGAAGAGGCCCAAGACCGATTTTTCGAGCTGCAACAAATGCACTCAGCTATTCGCTTTATTTTGAATTTGAATATTGGGGTAGCTTTTACTTCAGTGCGTATCTCAAACCAAGTCATGCATGTGAACATTCTGTATATACTCAAGCAATGCTCTCAGGCTCAGGTTTCCGCATAATGGGAATAATCGGCCTTGGAGGCCACCCATGGCAATGGCTACTTGCGTTCCATTCACACGAGAATTGATAATATCCAGATCCAATCCATATCCCATCCCGCTTTATATCAAGTGCACGGGGTTTCTCCCGGGCCTTCTCACTTGGTAATATAACCAACGCACATGAATTCGGAGGTATCAACAGCTCCAACTTGAATTGATCATCCTCGGGATAAATCCTCCATCGACATTCCAATCGTCCATACGGTGTTTCATACGCAGCCTCGGCCGAGTCAATAGTACCCCCTGGAATTGGTTCAACTCGGATTTCCTTCCACCCTGGCGAAATAGGACTGATACCCGCAACACTTGAGTGTAGCCAGTTGATGATTGAGCCCAACGCATAGTGGTTGAAGCTGGTCATCTCTCCTGGATTGATTGATCCGTCCGGAAGCATACTATCCCATCGTTCCCACATAGTCGTTGCTCCCATGGTGATAGGATACATCCACGATGGCCGGCCTTTCTCTAGCAACATGCGGTAGGCGACTTGGTGATGGCCCGATTTCGTAAGCGCGTGGGTAATAATCGGAGTGCCGGCAAATCCGGTCGCCACTCGGAACTTGGCTAGTCTAACCAGGTCGACTAAACGGGCACCAGCTGCCACAGCTTGATCAGGGGTCGAATGAAGATCAAACATAATCGCAAGACTGAGAGCGGTCTGAGTATCTCCGACTATCAAACCTGACTCCGCGATATACTTCGCTTGGAATTTGGTCTTGAGTTGGCTGGAGTCTGATTGGAAGCGTGTGGCATCGCCTGTCTCTCCAAGAGCGTTGCTGATTTTAGCCATTGTACTAGTCACATGTACGAGATATGCGTCTGCCACCAGGGTCCCGTTTGTGCGAGCATCACCTGGCTCAAATGGGGGAGCGGTGGGATCCAGCCAATCCCCTAATTGCCAAAGCTCAGCATCCCACAGGCCGTCTGGGCCCCTTCGAATGCCTCGGTCAATCCATGCCAGCATACTAGGATACTGTCGACGAAGGATATCCATGTCTCCATATGAACGGTAGAGATCCCAGGGTGTCAAAATGACCACATCGTCCCAAATGGCTTGTGGGAGATGCGGCCACAACTCCTCACTAATGACATTTGGGACAACAAAAGGAGGGATGAAGCCGTCACCATCTAGAAGTTGCTCGGCGGCCACATCTTTGAGCCAATCTCCTAACATCCCGGCAGTGTTGTAAAGGAAGTTGGCAGAAGGACAGAAGATTTGGATATCACCGGTCCATCCAAGACGCTCATCCCGCTGGGGACAATCAGTCGGAATAGACAGGAAGTTGCCGCGCATACTCCACAAAGCATTGTTATGTAGCTGGTTGACCATCGGGTGAGAGCATGAGAACCAGCCAGTGCGGGCCATATCTGTGTGTAATACCAGTGCGGTTACGTTGATCATCAATGAGGGATCTTGATCTGTCCAACCATCGACTTGAACATATCGAAATCCATGAAAGGTATATTTGGGTGACCAGTCTTGGATTTCAGTCCCGGCAGAGATGATTACATCTTTACATTCTGCGTGTCGTAACGGCCGAGTTCCAATTTCTTCATGTTCCAGGACCTCTGCATGGGTCAAGGTAACATGGCTACCCGACGGTTTGTTCAAGGAGCGGATGCGCACCCTACCGACCAGGTTTTGACCGAAGTCAATCACCGTCTTCCCCGAAGGTGTTTGCAGGACCTTCACTGGGTTTCTCTCCTCGGTCACCCGAACTGGTGGCGCATCTGGAGCAACCAGGGCGGCAGTCGGGAAGGCCAACTCTTGGACCGACATCCAGGAGGCTGCTCCGTTGTTCTCCGGAGCTGGTACGTTCCAATCGTGGTCCTCCTCGCGCGCATCATACACTTCGCCGTCATATATCTCACTCTTGATGATGGCACTTGGGCAACAGACCCATGTCGAGTCGGTTACCACAGAAAGATCCGGCCCATCATTCTGCGGCTGAACTTCAAGCTGTGCAAGCACAGCAAGACGATCCCCATATAGCTGTCGGCGTCCCCCAAGGAATCCAAGTCGTGTCGCATACCATCCTTCGCCGACCTCTACTGCAATGACATTGGGTCCATTCAAGTTGAGGAGAGGTACAACATCATACACTTGGTAATTCAAACGATGTCGGTAACTTGTCCAGCCTGGAGCCATGCATTGATCCCCTACCTCGTGGCCATTGATGAAGGCTCGATATACGCCTAGGCTGGTGATGTATAGGCGTGCCTGATTGATTGGCCCATCGCCGACGTGAAACTCTTTTCTAAATCTCACTGGCCGTAGAGAGCTGTCTGGTGTTCGGGGTGTCGGGCTCGCGATAGGAATAGCAATCCAATCATCGCGGGTGAGCAATGCGCACTCAACAGTAGTCCACGAGGACCAGCTTGTTGGCTCACTCTGAGACTGTCCGTCTGAAGTCCCATATGATCGAACTCGAACCTGGGCACTTTCGCGCGATTTCAGCGGTTCGCTTGGCCAGGGGACCAACACGGAGTCATCTCCTGTCACTTGGTAGGTCTCGATTGGTCTTGAGGTTCGCGAAATCTGAATCTCATAGGCAATTTGTTTCCATTCTTTCACACTAGTGTCGGATGGGGTCAAAAATCGCCAGGATAGCCGCGGGGTGGCGACTCCAATCCCGAAGCCGGATGAATGCTGCTCGACAGATGGAGCTGTGATGATCGGGTAGGCCATCACAGTAAAGACAAATGGTTTCCGCTGGTAAAATGAAATCCTTCACGGGTACAGCTAGGAAACCCCCATCTTTATAATTCTCATATGTCGGCCTTCGGTGCGAACACCCATGGGCTTTGCCGGAATACATTATAACGAAGCCCCGAGAGGTACTGTTTCCGATCGCCAAGTTATGGCTTGTTCAGACTATGCTGTATAAGCCCCGGCGGTGTTTTCAGTATCTGATTGGTGTATTGCCGCCATCCCCAAATATCCCCGCATTCCAGGGACATGGCCTGCTATTGCGAAGGTTGGTGTCTGTTTCTTTCCCCTCGAGGATGCTACAATTTGTCGGTTCCATCCTCCAAAAAGTCACTTTCAACGTGGGTATAGTAATTATAGGATACTTTCTCGCCGAGATAGTTTTTGATATTCTCCTGGAATTTGTGCCCATCTACATTGCCAAGACCTCGCTTCCACGGCATCGATGATTACTGCTTTGCAATGATTCTCCGTTTCAAGTCATTTGTATTCGCGGATTAGATGGAATTGGGATTCAATTTAGATTAACTTTGATAGCTATAAACTCATTCAAGTAGCCAATCAATCGCGTGATTGACAAGAGCGTCGTTGGTCACTTGTTGATCATGTAGCAAATTGGACAAATCACCCATCTCAGAATCACTCTCCATATTGTTAACAAGTACAGGCGTACTATTTTCTACAGATATATCGAGCGCGTTGGTACTCTCTGGGTCCAAACCAGAGGGTTGTAACGTGGATATTTGACGCTCGGAGAGGTAAGAAGAGTGCTCGGTCAAAAATCGGGCCATCCAATTATCAAGCAAAAAAGGGTCTGAGATTGAATCCCGGCAGGAATTCTGGAAATTTCGCAAGCGTGCTATCTATTAATGTGATCAGTCGTATTTCCATAGGATAAATTGGGGGGGAATGGACCTACAGATTGGTCGACCACAGGCCAATATGATTTAATTTCCATTAAGTATTTGAAGTTTGATAGTAGCCATTCTCGTGCCATGGAAGGTAATTCAGGACTACCACTGAAGAGTAGAGTATGAAGATGAACACATGAGCTGATTACAGCGATATGCCCGTAGATGAAACAGTTCAAATCACAACCTTCGATGTCTGTGCTATGCCGTAAGATTTCGGATATTATATTTGCACTTTGTTTGCATTGGATGGCGTTTTGTATCAGCTTTATAGTGTGTTGATCCCTCCGTGCGTCGAGAAAAGGGAAAAATAGCATTTGGCGAAAGTGGTGGTAGCCAATGTGCATTGCTAAGAAAGTCCGACCAAGCCGTTGCTTGACAGAGGACATGATGTTGTCCGTAGTATATCTTAGACTCGGAGGCAAACTTTCCTCCCATTGATCAAGACGGCCTTCAAGTACAGCCGCCTCCTGGCAATAATTATCAAAAGAAACCAAGCCTTGACTCATCCGTCGCAGTAGCACACTGGTCTTGTTGAATATGTCAAGTGTCTTCGCCATGTGAGCCCACATAGTGTATGGGGATGAAGGCGAACGAGGAGCTTTTTCCAGTTCTAGATCGAGACTCTGGAAAGCCATATCATCAAATTCGAGAATATCGATTTTTCGGCCTTGATTGAACGAGACAGGCTCGATTGATATATCTATTGCCGACCAATCACTAGCAATATTCACGGAAAGCCATGTGCGGCGGTATTCCTCTTGATAGATGGGGCTGTCATCCTTGGGCACACCCCAGAGCGACAAGGTTTCTGCGTGTAACCTAGCGAGCCCGATATACACATGCTTTGCTTTCGTATCACCTTCCCCGCCGTAGTAGTAGCCAATCAAGACCAGGCCTTGCATTGATTCCAGGCTTGGGATGATGATAGACTGTTGAGCGAGACGCACAGCCTCGGATATGTAAATGTTTCCCCGTGAGCCACGAGCAATGCCATGGAAGACAGGGTTATCGGAAAACCTAGCAGCAAGTGCACACATGGCATAAACGTGTATCATGGATGCCGTGCCCTCATTTAACTGGTGCATAAATCTTGCTTCGTGGATCATGGTATGAACGACATTGTGGACGAAGCGAAAGTACAGGAGAACTAGATCATGGAACACCTCCCGATTGGTTTGTATTGACATCTCTTGGGGACCGTTTGACAGGCTGGAGACGAAATGAGGATCATCCAAACCGCACGAAATAGAGAGAGACCGGCAAAGTTTGCATCCGCGCCCATCACCCAATGGACTACATCGTCTTTTGCGCATGCTAACATTTCATACTTAGCATCACATAGATGATAGATGAGACATCACTTCACCTACCGACAGTTGACGCAGGCTCCAGCTCTTGCTCTCTTGGCATAGTTTTGGGCCATCATGTCAGAGGTAGAGGAAATAGCAGCCAATCAGTTCGCGGGGCCCTTAGCTCTCAGTGGGTGCCATATTGGAAGGGGATAGGACAAATGAAAGCCAGATTGTCCATCGGCGTCTTTCTCGGCGTCTTTCTCGGCGCTGCCTGGGCCCACGGTTATGCTGACTAAGTCCAACCTTGGAAGATAACAGGACGAAAATAACACTTCCCAGTCCAGGAAATGCAATAACATTCGGTCCGTGGGACGATATCACTAGATTATTGTCGAGCTACTTGTTTCAATGAATTTGATATTCTATGCCTAGGGATTTGATATCTGTTAGATAAATCTGAAACATCGCCCACCAAGAACCCCAACCCAATTTCATCATCGTACCCATTATCATCCATGTGGAGACGATCCACAGCATCGTGTGGCTTCTGATTCAACAGATGCAGCTCCATTTCAAAGTACGGCTCACCCCTAGTAATCTCGGGCCGACATATCAACAGCTGAGAGCCCCCGACTATTGCCCGCATCTGCCCCGCGGTGGGATAAACATGAGCGATTGACCATGGTCCAAGTGTCCTTCCCAACACAGCTTTCACAGCGAATAACATAATATATAGCCAGTGGTGCTTCTGAATCTTAAATTTTTTCTTATTTCCTCTCCGAATATCCTAATATCCTCTCCAAATTGCCATCCGCATCTCAAACTGCCATGGCTACGCCTGGAAAGTCCAACCACCGTGCCTGGTGGAAAGAAAGCTCCGTGTATCAAATCTGGCCTGCTTCCTTCAAGGATTCAAATGACGATGGTATTGGCGATATCCCCGGTATCATCTCCGAGTTGGACTACATCAAGAACCTCGCCGTCGATATCGTTTGGTTGTGTCCATCGTACAAATCCCCGCAGGTGGACATGGGCTATGATATTTCCGACTACTACAGCATCGCCGATGAGTATGGCACAGTTGAAGATGTCGAGAAGTTGATTGCCGGGTGCCACCAGCGCGGTATGAAACTCCTCATGGATCTGGTCGTCAACCACACTAGCGATCAGCATGAATGGTTCAAACAGTCGCGCAGCTCCAAGGATAACGAGTACCGTAACTGGTATGTCTGGAAGCCGGCGAAGTATGATGAGCAGGGCAATCGCCAGCCTCCCAACAACTGGGTTTCTCATTTCCAGGGTATGTGGTTCTATTCTCATCAGGTAGTGAACTCCATCTAACCTATAATCTACTCTAGGAAGCGTCTGGCAATGGGACGAACTGACCCAAGAATACTACCTACACCTATACGCGGTCGAACAACCCGACCTCAACTGGGAACACCCGCCCGTCCGCAAGGCAGTGCACGATATCATGCGATTCTGGCTAGATAAGGGCTGTGACGGATTCCGCATGGATGTGATCAACTTCATTAGCAAGGAGCAGAGCTTCCCCGATGGACCCATCAAAGACCCGCGGACTCCCTGGCAGTGGGGCGACAAGTGGTACGCCAACGGCCCACGCTTGCATGAATACCTCGCGGATCTTGGCAAGATTCTCAAGGAGTACAATGCCTTTAGTGTGGGTGAGATGCCGTTCGTCGCCGACGAGAAAGAGGTGCTCCGTGCGGTTCAATTCGAGCGCAACGAACTCAACATGATCTTCAATTTCGAACATGTTGACATTGACCATGGCAAATACGATAAGTTTGAACCTGGTAGCTGGAAGCTCACAGATTTGAAGGATTTCTTTGAGCGTTGGCAGACGTTCATGTATACCAATGGTGGTTGGAATGCGCTCTACTGGGAGAATCATGACCAGCCGCGTTCTATTGATCGTTACACAAATGCCAGTGAGGAGTATCGCCTGGTCGCGTCTAAGATGCTGGCCACTGCACTGGTATTGCAGGCTGGTACGCCGTTTGTTTACCAAGGACAAGAGCTGGGAACAAGAAATGTGCCCAAAACATGGGGGATCGAAGAATACAAAGACATTGATTGTCTAAACCACTGGAAAAGGTAAAATCCCACTCTCCTAGTTGGACTTGCGGATATTGGCTAAATATATGTGCTCTATAGAATCCCCAAGGACGACACCGCTGCCCAAGCAATTGCTCTGCAAGAATATCAGAAGAAGTCACGCGACAACGGACGCACTCCAGTCCAGTGGTCAGCTGCTGAGAATGCCGGTTTCACTGGACCTGGTGTCAAGCCCTGGATGTCTGTGAACACCGATTATGTGCTGGTCAATGCCGAGGCCGAAGTCAAAGATCCCAACTCAACATACCATTACTGGGCGACTGTGCTGAAATTGCGCAAGAAGTACCTTGATATCTTCGTGTACGGCGATTTCACACTTCTGGACAAACCAAATCAGGAGGTCTTTGCGTACACTCGCCAGTATGAAGACCAAAAAGCCCTGGTTGTGTGTCACTGGACAGAGAAGACTCTAGAGTGGGATGCCGCCAGCAACGGTATCACTGGCGTGAAGCAGGTCTTGCTCGACACTTATGAGGGTGTTGAGGAGGCTTCCCAGCGCTTCTCTGGTGGAAAGTGGACACTTCGGCCGTATGAGGCTGTTGTATTGCTCCTGTGATATATATATATAGATGAGATCTGAGGTTGGGCACAGGCCACTTCCTCCATACATTGTACCTAGACTATTTTTTGCAATGAAGAAACGTGAACAAAACACCACACAGTAGAAACAGAGTCATAGAACCAATACAAACCCTTAATATCCAAAGCTGCCAACTCCCACAAGCGGTGCTTTCCGCGGATCGGAGCTCTTATCAACCGATCCCCGCAGCAGATAAGCATCGAGGGGGAACAGCCACAACTCCAACAACTTTCAACATTCCAAAGAGCCCAATTCTCTCGAACAATTGACACTCTCAAATCCAACAAAATGAGTTCCTCAGAACCAGCTCCCCTCCCGGCCCATCTCGACCCAAAAACATACCCACGCACCCACCACGATGCAGCACAAAACATCCACCTAACACTAACCTACGAAACCCTGGACGCAAACACCGCTCTATCACAAACATCCTCCCCGGCCGCAGGTGCCAACATCCTCTTCCTCGGCACGACGCGCGATACCTTCGAAGGCCGCTCCGTCTCACAGCTCAGCTACACAGCCTACCCACCTCTAGCGCTGAAGACGCTAGCGGGGATCGCGGAGGCCGCTGTAAAGACGCATAAGCTCGCGGGAGTGAGTATTGCGCACAGACTAGGCACTGTGCCGATTGGAGAGGCTTCTATTGCTATTGCTGTTAGTGCGGGTCATCGGGGTGCGGCGTGGAGGGCTGGCGAGGAGGTGCTCGAGGCTTGTAAAGAGAAGGCAGAGATTTGGAAGAGGGAGGAGTTTGTTGATGGGGGGATGGAGTGGAGGGCTAATGCGGATCGGGATGCTGAGGGGAGGGTTTTGGGGTCCGAGGGTGTTTAGGGATATGATGGTGTTTGGGTCGGGGTTTTATTTGGTTGTGGTTTGGTGAACTTGGATGGTTGGTGATTTTCTTGCAAGTGGACTGTGGGTAATGCTGATGGTTTCTTTTACAGATGTCACTCAAAAAGTTTTGGTTCCTGGGCCTCTATATTTGCCTAGTTTGGCCGGGACACCCCGAGTATACCAGCACGAGGACGAAAAAAAGGGAGCATTTGGAACGCGGTTCCGGCAAGAGTAGGGTATTCAGATACTCAAATGACTATATTGTACAATTTCCATACATACACCTAGCGCAAGACTCTTACTCGGTCTTGAGTGGTCTTCCCTCTCTCTTCCAGTCATTGATGTGCTCCAGGATCACCTTGGATGCAGACTCGGGGGTATCCTGGCGACCGATACACTCAACGAAGTCATTGTCGGGATCTATGATAAACAGTTAGCACACTGAAACTCGATACCTAGGTTATAGCGCCATCAGCCCACTCACCCATCAGGTAGAAGTAGATACTGTGATCCACGAGGTAATCCTCGCCGGGCTTCACATCCTTAGGGGTACTGAAGTACACACGGTACTGCTTGCACACGTTCTTGACCTGCTCATACGTGCCAGTGAGGCCGACAATGCCGGTGTGGAACTCCTTCAGGTACTCGCGCAGCACCTCAGGCGTATCACGGACGGGATCGCAAGTAATGAAAACGGGCATGAAGAGCTTCTCGTCGCCGGTAGCGGCCTTGACCTTCTCGATGATCTCGGCCATCTTGTCTAGCTCATCGGGGCAGATATCGGGGCAGTGAGTGAAGCCGAAGTAGACCTGTGGAAATAAAACGAGATTGTGTTAGCAAGTACAGTTTCAGTTCCAATTCCAGCATATCATATCCATTGGATCTCTCCTGCTCCATTGCTCGGGGTAACTCACGAAGCTGTATTTGCCCTTCAGGTCCTCCGCCGTAAACTCGTTTCCGTCAAGATCCTTCAACACGAACGGACCGCCAACCTTGGGCTTGCCAACACCCTTGCTCATCTCCGTCATGCGCTTACGCTCAAGACGGGCCTTCTCAACACGGAAGTAGAGCATCATACCGGCGCCGGTCAGCACGAAGAGCAGCGCGGCCTTCCACGAGAATGGGCCAGTCGAGTTGCGCTGGCGCATCTGGCCCATTGTCTTGGGGCCTGCTCGGAAGGCGGAGGTTGAAAAGTTGTTCCGTGTGGAGATCATGGTGCGCAGGCTTTGGTCGCATCGTGGGCGCTGTGCTTGGGTGTAGGCTCGGCATTGTGATGCGGTGTTGTTTCGGAGGAGAGGGAGGATGCGTTGTGTTGGGGCGGATTCGATGGCAATATTGCGGGTGGCCCGGGTCAAAAGCCCACTTGCCAATCGCATGGGAGAAGGCATTTTGATTGTTGTGAAGCTGTGGTTGGGGAGATCTCGGAGGGATGGTTGATTATCAATTGCCAACTCCGGGCGGAATTCGAGAATCTCCAGATCGACACCTCAATTAAGTTTAGGGTGTCTGCCTCAGGCGCCAGTTGTACGCTTCGTGCATATGACGTTCTACTGGGTTTGTTTCCTACAATAAAATAACCTACACTCTACATTTATTTACCAAAGTGCTGCAATGGAAATCCAACACATCAATTAACAAGGATATATGCGCATACAATGCCAATTGATTCTACCAGGCAGAATCGCCTCTACATCAACTAGAAGACCCACTATGAAGGAGAAAAACAGCCAAAATAAAAGAGCAGAAAGAGCAGAAAGATAACGACGGCTGCATAATGAATGCCCGCGAACGGAATTTATTTCTAATCAATCGCCCTAGACCACTCGGTCGAACCGCCTATTGTATAGAGAAGTGGCCAACATTGGCATCAAATGCCAAGGACTCAATGTACGGAAGGGGCATCTCCACGTCCAATACTCCCATGCTGCAAGTGACATTGTCTCCCAGAGATATTTGGAGGCCTGGTGCAAGCTGGTTGTGGTTCTGGGGTGTAACTCGACCGCTAATTTGTGAAGGGCCAAAGTACCGATCAAGATCTAGGAGCTGGTTCCTGCTGAAGTGTCATAACAGGGTATACTTAAGAAGACTTATCTGTGCAACTTGTGCTTTTCACCGCGATCTATCCAAGATGTATAGATATTTAGTAAGACACCCGAAAAGAAGTTCAAAAAAACAAACTGTATAGTATTTGATTATTTAATAATTGTAACGTTTAAACATCATATCAAACCAACCGCTTAAGCAAGCTGAAGGCTGGTGGGAAATCCCTGACAAACCAATAAACTCTATAGAAATGGAAAGGATAACGAGTAACAAGCTTGGACCATTTGTGTATATCACATCAAGCCAGCACCACTTTCGAGGAGGCTCTTAGATAGCATCGGCGAAAGTGTGGGGGTTCTTGAGAGTCTTGGGAGCAGTGCGCTTGGTAGGACCAATGAGGTGATCAAAGGCAGGGGACTGCTCGACACGAGGGCTCAGATCCTTAAGGTCCCACAAGTAACCGAGAGTCTTCAGCACGGAGGTAGCAGAGTATGGAGAAGACTGGCCGGTGACGGGGTTGGTACCGTAGCCCTCAACGTGACCCTTGGGGGCATAAGCAGACAGCAACCAGGTAGGGATACGGCCACCGAGACGGTCGAAGCTGAAAGTGTATGAACTGCCATCGTGGGCGGTCTCGGTGTAGGTCTTGTTATCGGTGCGGACGGCAAGAGGGGGAGCGACGTGGTCGAAGAATCCACCGGTCTCATCGAAGGTGACGAGGAAAAGGGTCTTCTCCCATTGAGGACCGGTGCGGACGGCATCGTAGATCTGCTTCAGGAAAACCTCACCGAAGGAGACGTTTCCGGAGGGGTGCATGGAGTTGGTGTTCAGGCCGCAGCAGGAGGGGTTGATGTAGGACAGCTGGGGGAGGAGGCCCAGGTAGGCGTCCTGGTAGAAGTTCTCGAGCGGGACGACGTTGCTCTTGGCGTTTTGGGCGGTCCAGTTGAAGAACAGGGAATCGGGAAGGAAGGCACCGTTGGTGCCGTCGTAGTTGAGCCACGAGATGCCCTTCTCGGAGGCGACCTCGAAAATGCTGGTGGTCGGGATGGCGGAGACATCGAAGTCTTCATCGTTCTTACCGTGGCCATCGGTGACACCGGAGACGGCGCACAGACGGTTGGGGTTGGTGGGCTAGTTGATGGTCAGTCTGATATCTTTGACTGTTTTGCAACGCGGATGGTACTTACACCAGGGACACATGAGTGCCAGTTGTTGAAGGTAGTAAACTCATCAACCATGTCAACAATAGTGGGGATCTGACTCTCAGAGTAGAAGCCCATGACCTCATCGGTTGCGCGCTGGGCGGAGATCTTGGGGTGCTGGAGAATTTGGCGGTTGACGAAGCCCGACAGGTTGGGGATCAAAGAGCCATTGGCAATAGCTTCATTGTCGGGGTTGTAAGTTCCATAGAGCTCAAAGTTGGTACCAGTAAGCGAGTGGTCGGGGTCATTGAGAACCGAGTCGTAGTTCTTGGACTGGGTGGACCACTTCGTGCTCTTGGGGTTGGCAATATCCTCCAGGTTGTAGAAAGGACCATTGTTGACGACATTGTCCAGACCCTTCTTCTTAATACCACCCAGAATGTTGTCGAATCCACGATTTTCCAAGAGAATCCAGACAACATTCTCGATCTTGTCCTTCAGGTTGGCAACGGACTCTGGTGAGCCAGACTTGTAGCCGAAGGGCTCGTTGGCACTTTTGCTGTTGTCCACGGCCGCACCCAGGGCGCTGCCGGAGAGACCAAGCAAGGAAATGAGAGCGGTAGTCTTCATCGTGCCAGTAAATGATGTGGTAGAGAGAGTTGGACTGAGTTGAGTACGAAGATCATTTCCTCGGTCATCGCAAGGCTTTTATATATTTGCTCCATGCATGCCATATGCATTAGTAGATATTTTGGCGTTTGCGGTATGTACATGCTGAAATTAGACGCCATGGCAAATGAAAAGCGGCCGTCTCTGCCACATGTTCAGTCTCTGGGCTTTCAGCGGCCGATCAACGACCTGTTGACAGTAAGCGAGCACGCCTTAGAAAGCCCTATGGAGGGTGGGGTTGAGATAGTTCGGATGCTATCGGACCGATTCTAATGTACAGGATTCTAGTTATTAATTCTCGTGTAGAGATTGGATGCAAAGAGAGACATTGGAAGATTCCTGGGAAGGCATGGAAGTATAGGTGGGGCCTCATAAATCCACTTGTGGTTGAGCTACCATGGTTAGCCCCACAGGTACACCAATCAAATCATCCGCCAACGGGCTTTAATCTGTGCCAAGTCACCAATCACGCTCCGTTCCTTTCGCATGCCGAGGCGTGTGCAAGCCATGTGGCTCCCATATCCAATGTGCACACTGTCATTTGGAGTAATTTGAGTCGGAAAAGCACTCTACTTTCCGCCTCCTAAACGGGAAATTAACGGCAAAATGCGGCATTCGACAATGCACGTGGGCTAAAAAGGGAAAAATAACGATGATCGAAATTGGGAGGTGATAATGAACAGGGTGGATAACTCTGATTCTGGGTAATATTCCAAAGCCTAGTCTCTACCCAGGGAAAACCCCCGAGTAGCAAAGTACTCGTCCAGGCTCTCAACAGAGGAGCCCTCAAAAATGCCTGCAATATACTGATCAGGTCGCAGCAAGTAGACAGCATTCTTGACAAGTCCGACTTTGCCGTATTGATCGTGCCAATGGAAAACAAAAACCTTCACTTTCATCTCCCGGGCCCACTTCTCAAGTTCCGGCACAGACTCTCCGTAGATATGGAGCTGCCAAGAAACATCTCGCAAGGTCGAAAAATTGTCCACCTCGTTGATTTCAACCCACGGAAGACGGTCGCCAGGCTGCACGGTCCCTTCGCCAGTCTGACAAAGAGTGCTGCCCCTATAGTTGCAAATGAGCTGAGAAGCCCCCCGGAAGATTCTGGTTCGGGTAAAATCGAATTTCAAAAGGAGGGGCACAAGGTATGGAATCAGCCAATTTCGAAGAATATGCGGGAAGAATCCTTTCGAAGTCAATGTCGTAAACCCCGTGTCCGTCGACTTGACTATCATCATAGCAAATGAGCGGCGCTCGGACTCATATGATTCCAACAGTTGGTGTTTTGCTTCTTCGGTCATGTCTGTTTGTTTGAGGGCCGTTGCTAGCTTCCACGCTAAGTTGATCGAGTCCATGATGCCGGTGTTCATGCCCTGCCCGCCAACCGGGCTATGGATGTGAGCCGCATCCCCAACAAGGAACGCTCGGTTGCTGCGGAATTTGTCGGCCACACGGTGGTGACTGCGGTAGGTGGAGAACCAGTTGACTTTTGTGATGTCGATATCCATCACTTGCATGATTTGCGGTCGAACGTCATCGAATGTGATCTGATGCTCATGTTCTGACGATTCATGATTGTCATCGTCGTCGTTGGTCGGCATTATGATGCCAACTAATCGTGCATGACCTGTTTTGTTGTACGGGACTACCAGGTTGAAAGTGTCGTTGGTGAACACCACGTTCCCTTCGCCGTTGAAATGCTTGTCGCTTTTGCCTTCGACGTCGGCAATATAGAACAGCGGTTTGTATGTTTCGCCCTCGAATTTGGCACCAATCCCGTGGCGAACAGCTGAATGTGCTCCATCACAACCAACTATGTATGACGCCTCATGTGTGGTTGAGCTCTCAGCGCTCTCGTTAAACAGAGTAGCAGTGATGCTTGACCCATGGTCCACAAAGCCTTGCAACTTTGACCCTCGTTCAACATGGATCCCTACGTCATTCAGTCGCTTTTCAAGCATTCTTTCATGGTCGTCTTGCGGTACACTTAGCATGAACGGGTATGGAGTCAACTCGCGGCCAAAGTCTTCTAGTGAAATGTGTGCTTTGTGCTCCGTGTGTACCCAGAGATTTGTCGACGGCAGCTTGTACCCGAGTGCCAGCAAGTCTTCGGTCAATCCAAGTTGTCTATACATCTCGACTATACGGGCATGAACAACTATCGCTCTTGAGTTTTTCGCCGGACCCTCTGCCTGGTCAAAAATGTGGACATTGACACCTTGGTGGTGGAGCCACAGAGCAAGGACGAGGCCAGTTGGGCCTGCGCCGACAATAAGAACATCCGTTTTGGGTTTCATCTTTGGGACGATCTTCGGAGTGAGGGTATGTAGGTTGAATCAATATATCAAGGGATGGATATGGTGATCAAAAGACGATTGAAGGTAGGAAATTGGTGGTCATATCCAAACAGCGCCGGGCGGAACCGATTTTAAATAAAATTTCGACCAGGCAGGTACCATCGCTCTGCCAGGAAATAAACCTCTAAAAGAATGTTGATCTATCACTACTCGGCTGGTTAGTCGCCGACCCCGAGGATCATGGACTCCAAGACAGCTAAACGGCATCGGAGTGTCGCGTGCCGATCAGCGCGAGGCTCTCCAACGATGTTGGGGTATACTAGATTTCGACCACGATAATTTCTGTCAGACCTTTTGATTTGCTACGAATGGTGGGTCAACGAATTTGAGGAACTCATTTTTAGGTCACGACAGATATGTTGCATCATCTGTAAAAGATCCTTGGAAGTTACTGAGAAGATTGTCCCATTCATTCCAATCCTGCGGGCTATCACCAAGCAGGAAACCAAAGTTCTCGGCCTCCAGTCCAAGTTGTGAACTAGAACGGTCGTGTCTCGGTTGATCTTGTAGCCTAGTTACACGCTCGCCGGTTGTGAAGTTTTCATCTTCGTGTTGCGGGCTGGAAATTCCCTCCGCATTGGCTAGCAAAGATGCAACGATGGTTGGACAAGGCGTTGGTGTGCGGTCATTGAGATTACACTCTTCAATGTACGTCTTCCAGGCCTTGACAATTAAATTTTGAATAGCCATGTGAAGAGGCGTTGGGCCGTTCTTGTTCATCGACTTGATATGTCCAGAGTACACATTTCCAATCAGTTGCCAGACTTTGCTCTTCTCTTCAGAATCAGTCCGGTGCCGCATTTCCGAGAGCATGAATATTATGGCATCCCACGGCATATGATTCACCATGTGCCATGAGTATTTCCGTACAATTGGATTGTTTTGTGCGTAGTCAGCATATTCTGTCATCTTGAGGGAATTCTCAAAGATGACGTCTTTCTCTGGTTGGGGGATGCGAGTGTTGGGATCCTGGTATTGACGAGGATGGTGTGCCATTAGCCGTGTATAGTATATAGCCGAGCGCGCCATCATTGCCGTTGCCATGTGTAGCGGGAGGGATTTATCGCAGTGCCGGAGGAATTTATCTTCCATGTGTGCTTCAAGTTCATCAATAGTCTTGTCCTTGTCCTTCAAGGACATTGATGACGATGACAAGAAGGCCCATGGCCCATTATTAGAACTCTCAACCTGGTTTGACAACCGAAGGAGCCATTTTCCAAATGCACTCCGAGCCAGAACAAACATCATTTCTGTCGGCCCTGGCTTCTCACAGGCTGGCTCGGTCATGCGAGGATCAAGATCGCTATCATTTGCATTCATTGGTGGTTGGACATCAATTGTGGCTGGTAGCGGCGTTGATGCTACACCGCAGAACTGTGCAGATGTGGCATCTATGATCACGAGTTGGAACCAGATGCGACGGCGCATCTCAGTTTCGAATACCGAAAGTCCATATGCAGACCCGTCGCGGTGAATCCCAATTCGTTGAGCGATTCTTACTGCAATACCACATAATGTCCAGATAGTATGTGGATCAGAGAACGAACGCATGCAGAGCTACCGAAACATCGTTAATCGTTAAAGGGGATTAGAGATCTCGTTGAAGGAAGGTGAACACACTAGGTAGAGCATAAACGCCTGGAGAACCACTGAGCTTGATGTGCGAAGAAGCGATGCATTCTTGAAAGCGAGTTGGGCTCCTCGTCTGCACTTTGATAGGAGGGCTTTCTTGCTTTCTCCGAAAGATTTTTCGACATCTTCTGCTTGCAAGGAAACCAATGCTATGCAGTATATCGCGAACATCAATGCTTCGATCTCCCGGCTCACTTTTCCCAGATCACTCATGGCGTCCAAAATCTGTTGTTGCACAGTTGGAGCATGTATAATTTTGGTGAGTGGGTTCACATTCTCGAGAAACGCCTGCCACAACTTGAAGATATTCAGGGGGCTTGGGTGGAGATCCGTAAGAACGTCTCTGGTTGCAGATGTCGAGAGTATCGCATAATCGTCGCTCACATCGTGAGCAATGTTATCGGTACTATTATCCGATCCATCGCCTAATACGTCTGCTGCATTTGGGAGCTAGGGAAGATGGTCAGAATTGACAGCAGGCGGGAGTAAGAAAATACTAACCTCATTGCTGACACTCGTCCAAAGATTGCTATTGTTCAAGTCAGAACTATGATATCAGGCGAAATTTAGCGAAAGCAACTCACTTGTCCAGATAGATGGAGTTGCCACCTTTCATGATCATCTTCCCAGACCCACTTTTCCCTCCTTCAGGCCGTTGCTCTCCCCTAGTATTGCGATGCTGAGGGGTTGAAGGATGTCCATCAAATCCAGTGCTGCGTCTAAGATGCTTTCCCCGTTCTTGAGATATACTCCCATTGGTTTCTCGGTCCCTTTTGCGACGAGGAGGTGGCGGAGGACGGTAGATACACTCCACATTCGCCTTTGCGCAATTTGAGCAGCGGGTATATGGGTCTTGTCTATCGCATTTGACCTTCCGGTTGTGACAAACCACACATGCAAACGATGTGGGTTGTTTTGATGGCGAGTCTATTGCCCGCCCACCATTCAAGGAGCTATTTAGACTAGCCATTGCTGTAGCACACTCTTTGGGAAACAACCCATCTAGGTATAACTGGCTTGCATGCTTTGATTAAGCAATTTTATCTCTGGTGGCATTGAGGAGAGGAAAGGACCCGGATCGGAAAGGCAGAAGTCGGAGTCTTGGTATTATGATGCCTTGAATATAAGGCACCAAGTCTGCGACATCATCCTAATCTCGGTTGTCTCACATTGTGTACTTCGATTGGCTTGTCTTTTCTCCACTCTTATTGCTTGATTTCCGGTTGGCATTCTTTAAATTTCACATTTTCACTCAAAGTATCCGACTGTGTTTGTGCAGTGCTCTATTTGGTGTCATTCCTGCGTCTCTACAGTGAGCACAGTCGAAAAACAACTGGAGCGACTTCATTCGAATATTTCTATCACCATTTATCTTATTTACGGGTTATTTTCATGTCGAAGACCCCAAAAGTACATGTCAAAGGATATTTCAAATAATTCGTCAAATGTATGAGCCATAATGCATTTCCTCAATCGAGTCAAAACAGTCCTTCGGAAAGGTAGACGGGACACGACGTCAGCTGAGCCTAAAGCTTCGGGGTGGAAGCGACTCCCATCTCATGTCTTTGTTGCGATCCTGGCTTCCTGCGATCTGAAGGATATTGGCTCTTTGTCTCTTTCCTGTCGAGCACTCCACGACCGGGTTTCCAAGCTGGAATATGCCATCGCATGGGCATATATTCAACTCCGGAAACATATGCATGATCAAAGCCATTGCATCAATGATGCCCTGTCGCCGGGTGATGATATTGCCTTCATATCCGAGCTATTCCCTCCCCCTCCCCCTGAATATAGTACAGACATGCCTCACGACAACGCGGAATATTCCCTGGGATATCTCGGCGATTTAAAGCGATGTTGGAATACTTGCATTCGACTCTCCTACCACCTGGCAGATCATGTGGTTGAACATCATCTGGAGACCGATTCAAATGCTCAGCCTTTGTGGTCATCTTCCAAGACAGAGAAAGAAGTTGTCTACAGCAAAGCCGTTGCTTCGCTCCAGGCCAAGCTTTTGTATCCGATGTATGGCCCCACTAGGTTTTGTTTAAATTTTTTTTTGGAAGGGCACTTACACGAATATAGAGCCTACGCGGTATTATTCTTAGAATCGGCTGCATCTTCTGGCTCTGACCCTAATCACTCAGGTCATCACCACAAAAATATGGCTTGTTCTATTGAAAGACAGCAATCCATTCTTCGAAATGCGCCTTTTGACGATACACTTATATTTTTGTCGACCCACCACTGCATGCAGCTTCTATTTTCGACGGTCCAGCGCTTGATGGAACCGGAAATTGCTCATTCCACCACCGAAAGCTGGATTAGTCTCCTTCTCACCACTTCAACCATGGAAAGAATCGTCGGCTTCTTTGTTTCTATCGCGAAGGATGACCAAAGAAAACAAAAAAGCGATCATGATTCTACGTGGTCCCATAAAAAGGAGTTTTTGTGGGCGATGCGACGGGATTTGAACGAGTACATGGCGTCTTTCAGTGATCACGGCGAACAAGTACTCCACGAGCCCAAACTCAACCATATATGGTTCCAAGCAGCATACAATGAGATGGACCGACGAGGGGCTATTCCGCATACTGTTGAGGATTCAGAAGTGCATGTTCTCCATGGGTCTGTTGTGAAATTGGAATGTAAACACTGTTATGATTGTTATGATGAATGATAGCTCAGTGCAATCATTCGGCAATCGGTTGTGACTTCTAAAAATAGTTCAAATCAATTTGTTTTTGAATGGACCTTCAATACAAATAGTAAATGAAACACCAATCGTCTTCTTGTATGCAAATAGAAAAAGGCCTTGTATACAGCCTTGTATACAGGGCTTCCAAGAAACAAACGTAGTTCTCCACTATCATTCTGCCAGTAATTTGTCATTTATCGCTGTATTGAATTGTAAGATCTTATACTGTACATCCCGTCCATCTTCCTCAATCACTTCTTGCACCCGCCGCAGCATTGATCATACTAGGCTTTCTAGAATACCAACTGGTAATATGTCCCATCATTGTTGTATATTACATATAAGATTATGATTTCGAGAGTCAGAGGGGCATCGGTCCGATGCATATTCTTTCAGCCAGTTTCAGAGGTTCTCCTGTAATGTATAGTAATAACAGGGGCGGTGTATAATTTAATTGATAGGCGGTGAAAAAGAACTACGTTTGTTTCTTGGTAGCCCTGTACATAAGGCTCCGCACTAAACTGCTTTCGTTCGGTTCCCGGAAGTTCGGGCGCCGATCATACGACAACGGACTTCACCAAGACTCCTTTCTCTTCCCTTGGAATACCTGATTAATATGCTTTGATTCCGAAATTCCGTTGGAAAACCCGAAGCCAAGATGTCTGCGGTAAGTGTGCTAGATAATAGCATTGCGAAAGACATGCTGTTTCTGCAACATGTATGTAGCTCAGCTAACTAATCAATTACCAGTGCGATCTATGTCATACTCGGAAGGTATAACCATTCGTCTCTCGTATTTGATGCTTTGACGTGCCGATGCTCATCTTGAGTCATTGTAGGTGAAATGCGATCGTCAGGATCCTTGCATGAACTGTACAGACGCAGGCGCAGAATGTCTTCGCGATCGCCAGGCACGAGTCCATAGACCGCGCGTATCTCGGTACGTGTAATTCACGTTGCATGTCTTCGGGATCAACAGCTGAACTTTCCAAGATTAGAAAAATTAACCCAGAGATTGGCGAAGCTAGAAGAGTCAAGCAGTAAAGAAGCAACATACTTTCCAACAAAGTATTACGCCGCTAGCAGCGCATCTTCGTCGCCTTCGGCCAACCTGACAAGTACTACTGAATCGCTCAACGACAAACAGAAGCGATATCGAGCATATGAACCGCATGATACGGCTACCCTGCAGCCACCACCAAGTAAGCACCGCAAGTCTCAGACTGTGGCGCAACAAAATGTTCACCAGGCACATTCTCCTGGCTCAACACATCATGCCAGTGAGGCTATAGAGTACATTGAGCATGAGCTCCAATGCAACCCTGCTCTATCCAAAGATAGACGCACTGCACTTGAATCAGCGCGCAAGTTTGTCAGTCAGCTGTCCAATCCGACTCTAAATTTTGAGGAGACTGCGACCATGCCTGATATGGATGTCCAAGAAAACCTGGAGCCCCCTACTCTTACACCGGAACTGCTTTTCATGATGCTACCTGGTAAGTTACCGACAATCGGGCAGGTGTCAGCGATGCTAATTATTGTAGGACCCGATACTAAAACACACTGCCAGGGAACAATCAACTGGCCTGATCACATCTCCGACAAAGTTCTAGAGCAAATGGGGCTTGCAATTATCGAGGGCACAGAATGTGAGCAAGTTCTCCAGCATTACCGAATCAACGTCTGGGTTAAGGCCATGGGTTGTATATCAAAAATGGCGCCTCTGATTACGAGCGAGCCTTTGAGGAATCATTTCCGGTCACTCAGAAAGAGCTATGAGGTCGCTGCCATAGATATTTTGAATCAGATTCCGCTGGCAGCTGAACCTAGCCTGATTTTGCTTCAATCGGTTATGTCTGCAGTAAGTTTCTTTTGTCTATTTTGTGTGGCTCCATATACATCAACTCATTTCTGACTCACGACAGTCCCGTTTGATGCGGTATTTAGGAAACATGACACGCAGCTGGATGTTGACAGCACTAGCCTCGAGGATGATTGTTTCCTTGAACTACCACAATATCACAGATGCCAATCCTCGAACTGAGATAGAGGAAAGCATTCATGCCTGTGTCTACACATGCTTTTACTTTGACAAAACCCTCAGCCTATTACTTCTCCGACCACAGTCTCTACCGAGTCTAAAACTTAAACCAACCCAGTTGATCCACATCGATCCCGATCTGCCAACATATGCCATGATGACAGGCATAGTGGAGTATTCAGAGTTGAAGAGTACTGTACTGAACGTCTTGCTTGAAAGCAAGACAATGGGAGACACGGAGAAGGCCAATATTCTGTCTGATCTTGTGGCGCGGGCACACATAATCCACTCCAATTCGCAAATGGTAAGAGATATCGAGGATCCACCAGCAAACAATCACTAATCCAACTTTCAGACTCGGCGTCGCCAAGAACAGCAATTCCCGCAATCGTGGAGCCATCTGCGGCGCGAGTGGCTATCGATGGACTTCAACTACTACTCTGTTCTCACAACAATCATCCAAGCCCGCTCCTCAGTACTCAAGTCCCGCTTGGTTTGCGAGAATTGTCTATACACTGCCCGGGAAGCCCTCACCACTCTCCGAGCTTTACAGGAAGCATTCTCGACCCGCGCCAATTCTATCGACCCATATCCATACTTTCTTACCTGGTATGATATAGCCATCTCTCAATACCTTATACGGTTATATCTAATGACATTTTGGAACAGGACAATGCTGCTATTCCCGCTAGCACCGTTTTTCGTCCTATTTTGCAATGTGATCGCAACATCAAATGAGGAAGACTTCAATATGATCAAAAACATCACCGACGAACTACATCAATTCGCGGAGGCGAATGCCTCGATTGGCAGGCTGTGTAAGCTATTCTCCAAATTCCTAGACCTATGTGCGCCTTTGGTGAAAGGAAATCCCGAACATTCCCGTTCAGAACATCCAGCAGCTGCACTCTCTGATACGGAAACGGCTGGAAACACCGAGGGCCAGATGGCATCCCACACAGATATATTTGACCGTGCTGTCGATGCCGATCAGGCTTTGGTCAGTCTTAGGGGTGCAGAATCCACTAGAGGAGAGCCCAATGCACCACCGTCTGTGGAGGGATGGGATGACAGTCTTGTGTGGGAACTGTTCAATAATCAGCCCTCGTTAGGGTGGGCGGAGTCAGAACTATGGAATGTAATGACGCAGTTTGATGCATAAATAGATAGAATGATAGTACTCGCTTCGAGATGTTTTTAAAGCGGTTCATGATTATCCATGACCTCGGTTGATTGAATTCGAATGGTACATGAGGTGTATTTACGCATGTGGCTCTTGAGGACACAGTCCCAGGCAACAAAGACCAAAAAGCAATGGGAAAAAAATGAAAAGGAAGATAAAGAGCGTGATGGTTTAGACATCCCAGAGTCTAGCCAGAGAGTAAAAAGACATGGAAATGCTCAGCGAGTGCGGATATGCAGAAGGGCCATGATCTGTCAAAATCACACGGGCCAGGTATTATAATACAGTATGAAAAAAAAGGGGCGGATCTCATCTCTATCACGAAATCAAGACCCAGAGAAGGAAGAAGATCTATAACGGTCATTAGTTGGATGTGCAGGAAAGAAATTCAACATGAGTGAACGTACCATCAGAATACCAAACATTTTGGCAATCAGCCAGCGATTCCCGGACACGCGCGTCCAATACTTCATTAGTTCTCTCTGCGCTCCCTGGACGTTATCGACCACATCTTCGGTATTGGCATCTATGCGCTGAATCATTTCTGACTGCTCGCTGACCATCTGCGCCAGCTGACCAAAAATGCCACCTAATTCGCTGATGGTTCGCTCAATAGCTTCGATGGCTTCGCCTCGAGCTTGAACATATGTGTTACTCGATTCTCCTTCTTCCATTACCATCAGCTGTTGGTCTGATTGGAATGACGGACGCCCTAAGGGTGAAGGGTTTGACGGCTCGAGGGTCAAAAGGTCGGAGGAGTTGCCTTGATATCCGGGCTGAGGTGTTCGTCGTCCCGAGGTGTTATACAGAGGCGAGTCTGAGCGCTGTGCGTCGAGGGCGCTGTGTGATTTCGAAGATACCGAGGAGACGAAATTCTCAGTTCGTGTTCGGGATGCTTGAATATTCTTGGTTCGGACTTCGAGCACCTCTTTGAAACTAGCACCTACATCGGCCAGCTTTCCCTGCAGCATGACAACAACCTGAAATAGGTAATCAGCGACTGTGTCCGTGCGCAACGTTTCATGTCTCACTCACATTGTCATTGTGTTCTCCTTCCTGGTCTGTCTTCGAGCGAGTCGATTTGGGGTGTTGCGCATGGGTGAGCGCCTGCAACGAAGCGATGTTTTGGTTCAGGGCGGCAAGGTCTTGCTTGATCACGTATGTCAATTCGGAGATTTCGACAGGTCGGTCATCGAAGAGTGTTTTCCGTTTCGCCACTATTTCCTGGTTAGATTTCTGGCATTTCAAGCAATGTGACCATACTCACATTCAGCCAATCGCTGCAATTTGGCCATTGTTCCAGTAATCCCCCTTCCGATATCTCGCGCCCGTCGCGCGAACTCCGATCTTGCCGCCTTCGCCTCCTGTGCGGCCCCCTGGGGCGACGCATCGGCCTGTCGCCTTTGCGCATCAGTCAACAAAGCCTGACGCTGTGAACCAACTTTCGATGTCCCTAGGCGCTTCTGGGCGTGGCCCAAGATAGCGCTGAACTCGCTGGTCCGGTCTTGTATCGACGGGCCGGTCATTTTGCGATATGGGAGGGATGTGAAGCGAGAATGGGAAACAAGTAGCTATAGTCTTCAAATTTCAAGGAGCGGCAGTATTGAGAAGCAAATGTAAACTAACGTCGACAAAGGTTGAATTCGGTCTTGAAACTGGAGTGTGATTCTATCTGCAATCGATAAGGGGGCGAGGTGAAGACGTGTCCGCTTGCAGGTAGCTCCGAGGTTACAACGTCGTGACTTGACTTCAGGAACAAAACAAAGAGAGATAAACTCCGTACAATCAAGTAAGAAGATGGAAGGGTTCAACAGTCAACAGTCAACATTCAACAGTCAAGGTCAATCTCATTAAACCCCGTTGGTCCACGTTACTAAATCGGAAACGTGCCCTTACATAAGCCCCGCACCGCCACCTAAATTTAGCCTCAACGTCGATAGATCAGGGGAAATCTACGGAGTAGCTCGTTTCATGATTCTAATATTCATTGTCTTGATTCTCTTTATTTGATATACAAAGTAGTTGGCTTGATCTTCTTGTATTCTTTTGTGGATACACGTCATTCTTGTACACTAATCTTGTTTCCTCCAATTATCCCAACCCATTTGATCGGTGCCTTGCCCAACTTGGCCCAAATCGCCACCTTCGTCCTTACACACTATCGCTAAGGGAACTGTGCTGTTCATCTTCTCATTTTAACTCTTACAACTTGCTCTTATCCAAACCCATTGGAGATCACCAGGCAACAGTCGATGCTGGTAATCGAGCTTGCCTCGGTCCCTTAATCCTGTTCCCCTGATGGCAGACCCCACCCAATCGCATGGCCTTGGAGCCCAGAAACTGTAAGACTATCTATCCAAATCCAGTCGCACAAATACTGAGACCTGCTTTAGCCCTTCCCCGCCAATTGTTCGCAGTCCGCTCTCGTCGGGCAGCGGTAGCGGAACCCCGATCTCATTCCAAACAAACGTGAATCGCTCCAAAACAAAGCGCTGGGTGGAAGCGAAACAATATTCTTATGATGGAGGTGACTGGGGTAGTGACGATGATGAAGAGGAGGAAGAGGAGGCGCCTCCCGCAGTATCTCGGCCTCCCTATCTCTCCCGCAACACTGGCAGTTCGACCGAGTTGTCCTCAAGGCGTTTGTCTAGCATCGGGTACGGAGCCGGAGGCAGTGATTCGAATTTAGTCGATGGGAAAGGTAGGAACCTTAGTGGAGGAGACCAGAAGACCCTTCCATTTGTAAGGCCGGCCGACCTATATAAGCGCATGCGCGAGGAGAAAGCGGCACAGCAGTCTTCTATCACTGGTAGCAATGATCCTAAGCCAGACGGGCTTGGAGTTCCACCTCCAACAGACCAGCAGGGCCCTCCTTCGGGTCTACCGGAAGTCAAGCGCATATCTAGCTTTGGTACCGATTTCCTGGGTGGTGCAGACTCCAACCCGCCAATGGATAGCTCTGCATCCCAGGAACCCTCTTTGCACCACAACCCCTCGTCGGGATTCAGATCAGTAGTGAACCAGGCCTTCGATGTCCCAGAAACTCCACAATCCACTACCACTAGTGTCGCGCGATCGAACAGCGATGGCACTTCGACGATCAGCCCTATCATGGGCGCTCGGACTATGACTGATGAAAGAACACCCACCATTCTCGAAGAACCGAGTGAGTCGAGCACCCCGAAGGCAACTGCGAATGCGATTCCAGGGTTTAACCCTGGTCATCGCCGAGACCTGAGCCTTCCTAGTTCGGACAACAGCCCTTCGAGAAAACCTCAAGTCACAGACCAGGACACCCCAACAGCGGGCCGTGCAGAATTGTCCTCCATTCCTCTACTCCCGACTCTCTCACCAGAATCGCCTGATGGGGACATATCTCCTCAGAAGCCATCGATGCAACCATACAACAACGGGCAGGATATGCCTGCCCCTCTTAAATTCGGAAGTGCATCGGGCCCTGACTCCTTCCATGGCGAAATCCCCACCATCATGGGAGCCGAAGAATCGCCACAGAATGCCGACAATGATCGCTTGAGGGAAGAGATTATCCGATCATTAAGTCGGGAAACGACCCCCATGGAGGACCCGGAGCCAACCAACCAACCTCAGTCGCAGGCACCCGCTGAGTTCTTCCCGCATCAGTCTATTGTTTCTGAAAGCCACCCAGACTGGACTAGCCCGCCACCTTTAGCACCTCGAGACCCTTATGCGACCAGTCAAGGCGCAGCTGGTAACTCTTCATCCACGGTCATTGATCAGCCAAAGAAGCCCAAGTTGGAAAGACGGTTCTCATGGGAATCCTCCGATTCGTCAGAACCAGAGCCGCCTCAAATGCCCGGCAGCTATTCATCGCCCCCTCCTCTAGCCACATCGTTATCTATGCAAGAGCCTGAGCCTATACATGAGGAGGCCGCCCCATTGGTGTCGGACGTGTCGCACGACCCGCTTGCTTCCGAAGATGAAGGGGCCGTTACCCAGCGTGCTGTGGAAAAGCCTCGTCTTTCGATTGTTCCACCTATCCCTGAGAACATCAAACCACCGGAGCAAGTCATGGGACCAGGAGCTACTCCACCTCCGCAACGGGTCGTCTCCAACGCCGGCAGCTTATCCCTCGATGAATCCAAACTTTTGGGCTTCCGTGATATTCTCGGTATCACATCTATCAACCAGCGTATCAAGTCTTTTGAACACACCCGTGACCAGTTCGCCACCATTGACACTGGTTTGAGTCATTGGTTACAGTTCACGGTTCACGATCACCCCGAGCATGCCGACGTTGTCCAACAGAGCCAGAATCTCTCTCCTACCGTGCCACCGTCAGATGCTTCCCGCAGCAGATTCCCTAAGTTGGGTGGTGCTCTTTCCAATATCGGTTCCTTGAATGACGGTACTCCGACCGGCGCCACTCATATCAGACGCCCGTCGGGCCATATCGGCACCGTGATGAACAAGGATAAAGTCGGGGAGAAAGGAAAGGAGCTCCTCCACACTGCGGGAGCGTTTAGTGGTAAGGCAACTGGGGCAGCCAAGGGGCTGTTTGCCAAGGGCAGAAGCAGGTTCCGACCCAGTGGAGGTTCTGAGAAGGTAGATGCCTGATTTTTCTTCTTCTGAGCGAGTTGTTTACTTGAATAAGCACGGTCGAGGCCGTCGCTTTCATGTTTCCCATTTGATATCTCTGCATTGCTTCACTTTGGATACCACCATGTAATTCCGAGCCTTTTTTTGGCATTGAGCTCTAGAATGAGACACGATTGATGCATTCGCCATTTTTCTACAATCTAACACCCCCGCCCTTATTTGTTTATATTCTGATGTTGGTAATGTTGTAGGTTCAGTCAACTCCAAGTGCGTCTCGCCGCAGCTTTCAGTTCTCATTCCCTTCAGGGTCAGGTGAAGCGTCTGGTAACTCTTCTCTACGAAACTCTGTCACCCTTGGCAGTCTGCCGATCTTCAAATCTGAGCGAGCTGAGCTCATATCCGATTCTAACCCACCGGCCAGTTTTTGTCTAGATCATCCACAGGATGAACACAATGCCGGTAAACGTGTCAAGCCGACCAAATCGGGGAATGACTACCCGTCGCACAATGGTGTTGGCGAAACAACTGTGCAACCGAAACAACTCTCATCTTCCAACGGTGTCCCTCCTAAGCGTGAAGTTCCGGGAAAGTCTGCCTTTGCTGGGGATCTCGAGCAGGAGATGATAGCCGCGCTTGGTCTTTCGCCCACTGATCCTCATCCTCAAAGGGCGGCAAGTACCCCGATGGTGTTGAATGCATTTAGCCAGGTAAACGGCGGGAAACGGCAAGTTACAGCGCCACTGCCACAACCAAAAAGCACGACTGGCAATCAATCCGATGCTGAAGCGCCGGTGAACAAAGCTGCTATCGCAAAAAAGAGTTTGCCAATCATTCCTGATGAGCCTTTCCACGTCTCTTTTCCGGCTGTGAACAGCCAGAGACATCAGTCAAGCAAGTCTACACCGGAGATTGTTATTCCGTCAATCCGTCCAGTGCTTAACGAAGGTCCTAAGGCTCCTTCGCCTCCTCCTAAGGATAACGATAATGGGCTGGCACCTAGCCAAGGTCATAGACGCCATCCCTCTGTCTCCACACTCGGAGTTGATGAGCAGCCCGGACGTACATCTAACGAGGAACTCGACAGAGATCCCCCTTCTCCATTGCAGGAGACAGCAGACGAGGGAACACCAGAACCCTGGTATAAAAGCAAGATTGAGCATCCTATGGATGACGCTTCCAGCGGCTCTCAATCATCTGCTCGAGTGAAGAGAAGGTCCTTCATACCTTTCTATCCATCAGGGTCGTCAGAGTCCACAAGCTCTGCCGAAGTCCTCGAATCCAAAAGAAAATCGATCAGTGGCCTACCTCCATCTGCTCCAGATTTCCGTAGCCCCTTGAGAAACGAAGTCAGATATTCGCCGGGAACCCGAAGCAGTATGCTAAGTTTCGGTAGCTTTGGAAAGCAGAGCACTAACGGCAAAGGGACTCGTCCGTCTACACCTGCTAACGGTCTCTCGCAACCTTCGGAATCGGGGTCTCCTGGAGAGAATGGGGAGTCTACTATTGGAAAGCTCAAGGAGTTCGGGAGACGACGACGCGCTTCGGTGGGAGATCTCCTCTCTGGCATTCAAATACAAGGGCCTCAGGCGCCCCCGGTAGGTCAGCGGAAACGAACATTCAGCAGGATTAGCGTATGTCGACTCTGGACTGTTCTTTTGATTTTTCTTTTCTGACTCGAACAGGTACTATTTGGCCGGCAAGACTCTCAAGATCCTGCGACAAAACCGACCAACCACACAAGGTCTGCCTCAGAGCAACTGCATCACAAATATCTGCCGAAACGCCCGTCGACAAATGGAACTATAGATACTACTAGCAGTTTCGCTGCACAAGATGAACCCCCGGTCCTCAGCAATCTGTTTGAACAAAAGCCTTTGCCAACTCAGCCCCCTCACCCTAGGGCACCTCCACCACCACCACCGAGCGACACAAAACCTCTACCTCGCGATACTCATCAACGTGCAAGTATATCACTTCCACCCACCTCGCCATCCAACTCCCTAGCGACTGGTCGATTTTACTCGCAGCTTCAGTCTGGATCCATGAAAGAAGCCCCAGCCGCCTCTCGCCATCTCAGCCAGCCTCTCTCAGGTCATTCCTGGTCACCGTCTCCCATGTCCTTCCTCAAGAATAGAGCTACAGATCCACTGTCCCCGCTGGAGCAATTACAAGACAACCAGATACATGAACTGCAGGAAGAGGGGCATGAGGAGCACAAGGATCGCGTGCTTAGGGAGGGCCTTCGACACGAACTATATGGGGAGATACCTGAGGCTAAGCAGAACCACCTGGGACAACAACATGAATTACAAGGCGATCTCAAACAACAGAGCCTAGCTCCTCAGCTCAGTATTCGATCCCGAAAGCCAGTGGGTTCAGACTCGACATTCCCAGCCTCCGAGAACCACGCATCCCGCAACATCGCCGTCTCAACCGCCTCCGCGCATCCCCACCGCAGTGAGAACGAGGCCCGGGTAGTCAACTACCCGCCTCAGCCAGTAGAGCTTGCCATCACCGCGGACGACTCCAGTGAGGAGATCGTCATGTCCCCCACATCCTATCCGGGGCAGGAGTGGACGCCCATGCATTTGTAGCATGTTTGATTAGAGCGCATATGATACCCACTATTTCTTTTGTGGTGTTCTTTTGACCCCGGAGTTGTATTTGTATGCTTTTTCTTTTTTACTACACATACGTGTACCCTAATGTTCGAATATTTGTTCTCTTTTCATATATCAACATCTCTCTTTAACTTTGGCATCTCTTTAATAATTTGATCATGTTCATCAGACATACCAGAACCTTCTACGGTACCCTTTTAAGGGTTTCATGACAAGTCCTACAAATCCTTCCAGTGATTGCACAGTACATGTACATCACAACATCGGAGAGTTCCTGAGTGGCCGAGATAACGAATTCCCCGCATTTACGAAGATATCAGATCATACAACCCATATATAAGACTATAATCCCATCTGATACAATTAACTACTGCCCTACCTTCAAGATGAACCCTAACGAACCCCCAATCATAGATTTCACCCGTAAGCGCCTCAAGAATCCTATCCTATACTCCAAGAATACCTAACTCTCTCAACAGCCTTCTACGCCAACAATTCAACCAAAGAAGACCTCATCCACCAAATCCGACAAGCATGTAAACAATTTGGCTTCTTTCAGCTAATCAACCACCCCATCCCAACCGAACTACAAACCGCAGTCCTACAACACTCAAACGAATTCTTCAGCCTCCCCTTAGAAACAAAAGAGAAATACAACCAAGGTAGTACACCCCGCTTCTCTATCTTCCCTCTCCATCAATAGCAAAAATGAACATACATAACTAACTCCTAAAGCCACCGGCAGCTTCAACCGCGGATACGAGCGCCTCCGCTCCCAAAATTTCGAAAAACGCACAAAAGGCGATCTCAAAGAAGGCTTCTATCTCGGAAAAGACCTCCCCCTCGACGATGAATACGTGATCCAACGACGCTTCGGCCAGGGTCCGAATAAGTATCCCTCCGAAGTCACCGACGCGAAAGGTTTCCGTCGCGTCATGGACGAGTACCACGACGCCATGATCGAGCTTGCTGTAGCAATCATGGAAGTTCTCGCGCGCACGTTGGGTCTAAATGAGGGTGTTTTCGGGGATTTCTGTGATCACCCCGTTTCCATTCTTAGACTACTTCATTATCCGCCTCAGGAGGCTGATGCGTCGGGTCTTGAGAGAGGTTAGTGATGCAAACGAGAAACCTGTGTTAGAATGCGCATGTGTCAACATGAACTAAGGTGTGTCTAGGAATCGGCGCGCATACAGACTTCGGCGCTATCACCATGCTCCTGCAGGATGATACGGGCGGGTTGCAGGTGTGGAATAACCTCTCGTCTGAATGGGTCGATGTCACTCCTGTTCCTGGGGCTTATGTTGTTAATCTGGGGAATATGATGATGCGCTGGACGAATAATCGCTACTTATCGAATCTGCACCGGGTTATTAATACCAGTGGCAAAGAGCGCTTTAGTGTTCCGTTTTTCTTCTCTGGGAATCCGAACTACACTATCCGGTGTCTTCCTGGCTGTGAGGATCCAGAGGAGGGAGCTAAATACCCCCCGATTACCGTTCATGAATGGATGGTTGGAAGATATGCGGATACCTATGGGACTTCGGAGGGGAAGGCTATTGGAGAAATGCGGCAGGAGCCTGGGGATGTGTGATGCGATTAAGAGTAAGAATAAAATATGAAGTGCTAGTATGAAGTACTAGTATCTCACTGCAAGACTCATCCAACTTAATTCCCCTTAACAACCCCCCAATCAACCCACTCCGTATCCCCAAAAACCTTCTGCGGAGTACTATACGCCTCATAGCCCTCCCATCCAAGAACAGAAGTAACACCACCCTCAATACGAGCAGTCTCATTAACCCCAGGCCCGTAGACTTGATACTCCGCCATAAGTGTAACGCCCTTCTCGAACCTCCCGACACCACTAATAACCCAATTGATATACCCCTGTGGATCAATACTACCATCTTCATAAGAGCGCGCAAAGATAGACCGGTGCTGGCTATTCCACGGCCGACCGAGCGCACACGCGCCCTTGATATCAGCCGCGATGGAGGTGTTCGCGGCACGCACACTGGAGTCAACAATGTACACACCGTACTTGTTCGGGGTTGTTGTGTTCGTGCCTTTCCAGGCGGTTATACCGCCGCCGCAGCCGCGGAGTTGTAGCGCGCTAGATTGGATCCAGGCTGTGCCGAAGCCGTAGAGGAAGTCGGTTTGGCCGGCTAGGATACTTTCGTAGAAGTAGGCGTTGCCGAGTTTGCCTATGTAGACCTGTGGAAGTGTAAGTTAGTGGTTTGTGTTGGTTGGTTGGTGAGAATAGTGCGAATGGGATGAACCCACAGTATCCTGGTACGAATAAAACCCGCAATAATAAAACCCTCCATTAGCGCGACTGAAACTCAGCGCATGCGCCGGTCCATCAGAGTACTCCGCCCAGGTATTATCAAAGTCAACATTATATACCCGGAAATCTTTATTTCCGAACGGCGTATCAGCGGGCACGGGATATCCCGTTGTGCCGGAGCCCGTGAGACTCGCTTCGAGTGTGGGTGCTACAACCAGCACGCTGGAGAAGACATTGTCGATGTTTCCGGTGCTGTCCCTGTTGCCGGCGGCCCAGGTGATGCGCACGCGGTTTCGGGTTGCGTCTTTCGGGGAGGTTGTTTGGCCCAGAATGGTTATTGGGCCTGAGCGGGTTATGTTTACTTGCTCGGTGTAGGTGCCTTCTAGGATAAGGATTGTTTGTGGGGTTGCATCGTCAGGGAGGGAGTTTATGGCGGATTGGATGGTTGTGTGGGAGGCACGTTTGGAAGTTGGGCTGACGATGAGGGTTCCTGGTGGACAGTGGGTTCCGGTGGATTGGCAGGTTTGTCGGGAGATGTGGTTAATGGCGATGGTGTTCGCTCCTACGGTGTGGAGGAGGAGACCCAGCAGGGGGAGGATGGATGGGAGCATCTTGTTTGTGGGTGGATTCTTACTTCTGATGGGTACGGTCTATGGTGATTTTACTTTTCTTTTATGGAGCATTTGGAGAAGGGGCTTGTATGGAGGTCACAGCAAGTTGCGGCAGACGGAAAATTAGGAGATTCATCCTGCGTGAGCAAAGGCTAGTGCCAAGATGGGTTAGAAGTTGAGTGCATTGTGGTATTTCTCTATACTTCGTGCATACTGGGAAAAGAGAGGGGCCTCGCGGGGAAAAGCTTGTCCCCACGAAATGAAAATTCATCCGGGGAAAAAGTATGGGGACGGAGAATTGACTTCCACCTGTGAGCGTTGGAGGTTGGGGAAGAGGCTGTGCAGCAAAGGTAGATCAACAAGGGTGGTCAGGGGTAGACAAGAACATGCAAAAAGAGTGAAGACTTATGAGGAGTAGAAGACTAGAAGACTAGAATGTTACAATGTTACAATGGAATTACAAGGAGCAGAAATGATTAGAATCCCTTAGATTGACTAAGTGCCACTATTAACGACATACATACACGTAGAGAATAAAAACATGACTCTAGCAACTCGAAAGCAAACCACAGCCAAGGGGTAAATGAAACACACAAAGTCTATAATACGGGTAAAAGGAAGCGAAAAAAGTCGGACGACTTTTCTGACTCCCACGGCATGCATGTTCAAGTAGGTGGCACGGCAAAATTTGCGGGTAATCGCAGGGAGATAAAGAAATTAGACCTCGAATCAGTAACGAGTTGCAAAAAAGCTAATAAACGAGCATTTACTCGTTGTCCTCGATCTCCTCGGCGCGGGCACCGAGAGTGTAACGAGTCTTTCCTTCCGAGTCGTGCTCCATCTCGATAGCAAGCTTGGAAAGGTGGGCGATCATGTTCTCGATCTTGGTGTCGGCCTTGGAGCGGGTCTTGCGGCCAAGGTTGTCGAGACCGGGAACAATGGTCAGGAGGTAGTACACAACGGCGATGATGACAGTCACACCGATAGAGTAGGCCCAGATGACAACAACGGTGACAATGTCAACATCGTTGTTCTTGGAGAATCCAGGGCCAGCGGGGTCACGGGGAGAGGTCTGCTTCCAGTCGGGTGCGAGCCAGCCGAAGACACAGAACAGGGTGGCGAGGACATCGACGATGAAGATGGCAATAACCAACTGCCACGAGGGCCAGGTCTTTCCACCACGAGTAACGAAGATGAGCCAGTTCTCAGTCAGAGCAATCTCAAGGAAGAGAATCTCCTGGGGAGAACCGAAGTTCTGGATGATACCACCGTTCTCGAGGAAGAGAGTGGCACGGATGATCCAGGTGGCGGCAGCGAGCAACAATCCAAGAACGACGGAGATAACCCAGATCTTAGGCAACTGCCACTCGACGGGGCGGGCCTCGAAGTGAGCGTTATCGTAAGCAACGGCAATGGTGGCAAGATCAGCGAACAAGGCGATGAAGACAATCAGGGAAGAGTCGATAGTCTCGTTGATAATGATCATGGAGGTAACCAGGTAGATCTCGAGGTGGAGACACAGGGCAATACGGTACTGAATGTAAGCCTTCATACGCTGGAAAATCTGGCGGGCAAGCTTGATAGCATCAACGATGGTGGAGAGACCGGGGGCGAGGAAGACAATATCGGCGGCAGCCTGGGCAGCCTCAGTGGAACCCTCGACAGCGATACCACAATCAGCCTTCTTGAGAGAGGGAGCATCGTTGACACCGTCACCAGTCATGGCAGTCAAGTGACCACGCTGCTGGAGCATCTCAACGACCTGGTACTTGTGCTCGGGGAAAACCTCAGCGAAACCATCAGCCTTCTCGACAAGGTCGTGCTGGGCGGAACCAGCGAGACCACCGTGGATCAAACGCTCAGAGTTGTAAACCTTGGTACCGAGAGCAAGCATCTTGCAAGTCTCCTTAGCAATAGAGATAGCATCACCAGTAAGCATCTTGACGGAGAGACCGAGAACCTGGGCCTCAGCGATGGTGTGGGCGGTATCCTCACGGGGGGGATCGAACATGGGGTACATGCCCAGAAGCTGCCAGGGCTCACCCTCCTTCTGGACGGCGACACCAAGGGAACGGAAACCACGGCGAGCGAACTCAGTGACCTTCTCACGGTAGAGCTTGGCCTCCTCGGGGGAGCAGTCAGACATGTTGAGGATAGCCTTGGGGGCACCCTTGGCACAAATGTAACGGACACCATCGCAGGTACAGACAGTGGTGATACGCTTGGAGACGGGATCGAAGGGAGTGTACTTCTCGGTGATCCAGTTGCGGGAGAGGATCTCACGGGCCTTGGGGTAACGACGGAGAGTGAGGACGGTAACCTTATCGATGGGGTCGAGGTTCTTGATGTTGTGGGAAGAGGCAATAGCAGCGACGGCCATCATCCAGTTGACATCAACACCCTCAGAGACGTAGGGCTCACGGATGGAGAGCTGGTTGGCAGTGAGAGTACCGGTCTTGTCAGAGCAGAGAATATCGACACCAGCGAGGGACTCGATGGCAGTGAGCTTCTGGACAATAGCCTTCTGCTCGGCGAGGTAGGCGGCACCGACAGCGAGAGTGGTGGTAGTGACAACGGGGAGACCGACGGGAACACCGATAATCAGAAGAATCAAAGTGTAGTGGAGCAGGTTGTTGTCGTTATCCTCGGGGGTAGCGATCTTCAAGTGACGGAAGAAACCACCAATCCAGGCAGCGAGAATCCAGAACATGACGAGAACGAGCAGGGAGGTACCGATGTTGTCCATGACAGCCTTGAAGTGACCGGAGTCCTTGGCACCCTGGACAAGGGCGGCAGTCTTACCGACGAAAGAGTGACGGGCAGTAGCAGTGACAATACCGTAGGCCTTGCCACGCTTGCAACCGGTGGTGTAGTAACAGACATCAGCCATGTACTTGTCGACAGCGAGAGATTCACCAGTGATAGCGGACTGATCACAAGCAATGAGAGAGACACCCTGGTGGGTCTCACCCTCATCATCGTCATCGTCACCGTGCTTCTCCTTGAGGTCGTCGGAAGTGGCGTTGGCGAGGTACTCCTTGTAGTTGTCGAACATCTCGGGCTTGGAGTAGTCACAGATCAGGCGGACATCGGCAGGGATAACGGTACCCTCCTCGACGATAACAATATCACCAGCAACGAGCTCACGGGCGAGAATCTCCTCCTCCTGGCCGTTACGGACAACGATAGCACGCATAGCGATATCACCCTTGAGAGAAGCAACGACATCGGCAGCCTGCTTCTCCTGGTACCAACCAACGAGAGCGTTAAGCAAAAGAATACCACAGATAACACCAAGATCGATCCAGTCACGCAGACCGGCAGCGAGGAGGACAGCAAGCTCCATAACTATTGAGTGAAAGATCGCGTTAGTAAACCAATTGGCACAAGACGCGTCAATTGGGATTGTCCAAGCCACTTACCATAGAGAATAGGACCACGGAAGTAACCAATGAACTGAAGGAAGATGTTGGTCTTCTCAGTAACAAGCTCGTTCCAGCCGGTCTTCTTGCGACGAGGCTCAATGTCGCTGGAGCTCAGACCAGCGCGGAGATCGGTCTCGAGCCAGTCATCGGGGGTAATGAAACCATCCTGGACACCACCGGCGCCACCACCACCGAACTTCCACCAGGGCGCCTTCTTCTCAGAGCCAGTGCTCAGAGCAGCAGCGCTGGAAGTGGAACCACGACGGTTGGTCTGGGCAGTCGAGATGTACCGGTTGAGAGCAGAGTACTCGTCCAGATTGCTCTCTTCACCAGCCTCACGGGTGTGACGCTCACCATTTTCGACGTCAACAGCATAGGAAATTCTCCGCTCCGCCATTGTTGTTGATTCGGCTCACACAGCCTTGGAACCCAACGATATGAGTGAAAACAACGAAATGACGATATGACAGAGTCGGAACAGATCCTATGTAAAGAGAGAAGAAGGAGAAAAGCAAGACAGGTGAAGGAAGGTCTGTTTTATAATGGATTACCGGGGGGGTCAAAAAGAGGGAACCGGAGTGGGTAGGTGGATAACGAGAGAAAAGAGTGAGGGAAATAAAAAAAATAATAATAATTCGAAAATTGTAAATTGAAAATTGAAAATTTGGGAATTAAAAAAATCATTATTTTTTGTAAAAAAAACAAATAAAATGGGGTGAAAGGTATTTTGCATGAAATCCCGTGTTTGTCAATTTGAGGGGAGGAATACTTCTGAAAATGGTTGCTGGGGAAGGTATTACCCAGGTACTTTTCCCGCCCATCAATCATTGTTTTCGGACTTATTTTGACTTTTTGGTGTTTTTGTGGTGTTTTTTTGGTTTTTTATCTCCATTTTTCCTTCCCTTTTGAGTTTAGCTCTACGTGTTTTCTTGGTTGATACCAGACTTTACCCCTTGCCCTACCAAGAAAGCTCCAACCGGATACCCGTCTGCAGCCAGTTATGTCCAAGGTACAGTACGATTAGTGGGGACTTGGATGCAATTGGGTTAGTACCAAAACAATGAAAAAACCTGATACCGATACCACTCTCCCTCTGGAGGTCTCTGCTACCGGCACTGAGCTGCCGAGTTGGCCTCCACAGACATCACTTTCGTATGAATTGGTACAAAATTTTACGCAAGTTTCTATGCCTTAGCTGATGTGCCCCAGTTCTGACTATGCGCGATTTTTGTGTCTGGGGTCGTTTTGATCCTTACTGTGCCCCGAGACCCCAAGACATACGAAAAAAAATTAAACTAATGGAATTGGCACTGCGAGATGTACTCCGATTTGCAATTAACTGATTAGCTGTAGTTTTAACGGAGAATTCACGGACATGGCAAAAAAGGAATAGACAGGAATGCCCTTGCAGGAGAATGTTCCTATATTCAGTGACATGGTCCGAGATAGTCCCAAGATAGTCTGATGATACGGATACGCTTTCATTTGCCAGATGTCAGATCTTCCATGTGTATATGTTGTACTTCCAATTTTCCCTCCTCGACCGAGTTCGGCTTTCATACTAAAGTGATAAAG